CACTGCAAAAATGCAGGCAAAACCAGCTTGACTTCACTAAAATCTGATATGTCATATATATGTGATAATAACATGCAAGACTACCTACTGTGTGCTACATGCACCCTAATACACCACTATCAAAGAGACAGAAATAGACCCAGTCAACTCTTCAACCCAGTCAACGTGAAATTAAAAATTGAGTCCAAAATATATGAACTGCAAACACAGGTGACTTAGCCAATTTTTCCATTTCTGAAATTTTGTCCTAAACAAAACCCTATCAAATGAATGTCCTTTTGCATTCACGAATATTCATACCTTACTGAAAAAACCTGCATTCGTTCACAAATGACACAACAGGCCAACCAATGATGGGGGGGGGGAATAACCTACAGCAGGCAGGCATAAGCAACCTTCGGCACTCCAGATGTTTTGGACTACACCCCCCATGATGCTTTGCCAGCATTATGGGTGTAAGAACATTATGGGGGAGATGTAGTCCACAACATCTGGGGTGCCGAAAGTTGCCTACCCCTGACCTACAGGGTTATTCACAAAATGTGAGATTTTAAAAAAAAGTAAATTCCAAAGTGAAGGTAGAAATAAACTGGAGAAATTCTCCAATGCAGTTGTGCTCACAGTTCAGCTGCTTTTGCCATAAATGTAGAATTAACTTTGGAGAGCTCTCCTGCTAGGAGAATTGAGAGCTGGAGCCCCCTGTCCAGGCCTGGCCCCCTGCACTCACCGGGCCCGCTCTGCCTGTTGTTGCTAACGCTGTTAATGATGTAATGGGAGACCTTGGAGTTCTCGGACACGGACAGCACGTAGTCCCCGGGGATGGTGGTGGAGTCCCGGACCAGAAACACCCCGTGCCGCTGGCCCTGCAGACGGTTCACCGCCTCCTGTCGGTTCTGCCTGCCCCAATACCAGCTCGCTCGGTCCTCAGAGTCAAAGTTGCCAGCCATAGCTACGGTCCCCCTCCTACTCAGGGCCCTCTCTCCGGCTCCCGGATAGTTCTCGGCGCCGAATGACGCCGCCTGTATCAGACGCAACGACCGTCCTCCTCCTCCCAACGATCCCGACCTCACCAATCCCGAAATGGCGGCACAGGAAAGATCTGACCTCACCTTCCGGAAATACGTCACTGCGCTGCGACTCGTCGCGCGGTGGGACGGCGCGGCCATGCGTGGAAGGTCAGAGTAGGGGAGTGAGGGGAATGAGATAATAGTGGGCAATTACAGTGCGCCCAGAGACGGTGACGCAGAAAGAAAGAAAATAAAAATGAGACCTTTTTTATTTTTTATTACTTTTTTTAAATTTATTTTTTAGCCAATAGCCAAGTTGGATGGAAGAATTGGGTTGGAGAATTTTTTCCATTTTGGCCAATACTCTGAAATTGACTTTGAATTTCCATCAGTTCATACTGCACAGGGTTATTCACTAAAATGAGAATTTAAAGTGAATTTTAAACGAACAATCCGGGCACAATAACAACTGCATTGAAATTAAGTTGTTATGGTGCCATGAGGTCCCTGGCACGTGCTCACATTTAGGGGTTAAACCATTCTTAAAGTCTGGGTTCCAGCCTGAATCTCCCAGCCCCTCTGAACTTCTGTTTTCTCAAAAAAAAATATTTAAAGGGACACTATAGGCACCCAGACAACTTCAGCTCATTGAAGTGATCTGGGAATGCAATGTCCCTGTCCCCCTTAGTCCTGCAATGTGAACATTGCCGTTTTAGTGAAATGGCAATGTTTACATTGCATTACTATGACTGCCTCTAGTGGCTGTCTACCAGACAACAATTAGAGGTGCTTCATGGCTCTGGACGGCCTCACACTTTACGTTTACTTGTTTTCCTGGCACTATAAGGTCTTTGGGTCCCCCCTCCGCCTTAAGGTCCCACTCCGGCCAGGCTAAGGGGGTTAAATTCTTAACTTTCTCCAGCGCTGGGCTCCCTCCGTGCTGGGGACTCTCCTCCCTCTTCTGACGTCATCCGCCGAATGCGCATGCGCAGCTAGAGCTGCGTGCGCATTCAATCAGTCCATAGGAAAGCATTTCTCAATGCTTCCCTGTGGACGTTGGCATCTTGTCACTGTAAAAATCACTTTGAGAAGCACGGAAGCGCCTCTAGCGGCTGTCAATGAGACAGACACTAAAGGCTGGATTAACCCCAATGTGGCACCCAGACCACTTAATTGAGCTGAAGTGGTCTGGGTGCCTATAGTGGTCCTTTAAATCTAAATGGAAGAACGGAAACAAAAATAGCCAAATTGTGACTAAGTGAATGAGTTGGAGAATATTTCCAGATCAGTTATTTTTCACTCAGTTTTTCCACTTGGATTTAATTCAGAGTTTAGTGAATATCCCTACTAACAATACTTTGAAGAAACAGTAATAAAAAAAATATATATATATAGATCAGCTGATCAAGCTTGAGAATGCACTATCTCCAACAATTGCTTGATATAAATAGGCAGACCACATTTTTTCCCCTTGTGGTTATGAATTTCTTACAGTGTTATATTTACAGTCACAATCTGTATTGTACACCTGTGAATATAAACAGCGCTACGGAATTTGCTGGCGCTATAAAAATAATAATAAAGGAACACTATTGGGTCAGGAAAACAAACATGTCTTCCTGACCCTATAGGGTTAAAACTACAATCTAGCCCTCTCCCCCAGGCCTCTCTAAATATAGTAAAATCCTACTTGTATTCAAGTCTGAAACTGCTGGCTCTGCCCCTGAACTGCCTCTGTCTGCTGACATCATCAGAAGTGGTGGTCTGAGCCAATCACAATGCTTCCACATAGGATTGGCTGAGACTGTCAACACAGACTTGGCCAGTGAGCATCTCCTCATAGAGATTAATTGAATCAAAGCATCTCTATGATGAAAGTTCTGTCTGTATGCAGAGGGTGGGGACACTGAATGGCAGTGGTTCTTAATTTGCAGCCATCTGAGGAGTGACCAGTGGATTTATCGCTAGGCTGTAATGTAAACACTGCCTTTTCTCTGAAAAGACAGTGTTTACAGCAAAACGCCTGAAGGGAATGATTCTACTCACCAGAACAAGTACAATAAGCTGTAGTTCTGGTGACTATAGTGTCCCTTAAAAAAGAAAAGAATGCACTCTCTCTAAACATACACAAAAATTCTAAGAACATAAAATGTATGCTAAAGAGACATTATATTCACCCACACCACTTCACCTCAGTGAAGTGGGCTAAGTACAGTGCCCCTATCCTGATAACCACGTAAAGCCCCATGGCCGTCATATAGTGCAAGGCTTTAACATCCAGTGATGGCATAGAGTCATGCAGTAAAGGTACCAGCAGGTGTTAAATCCTTACTGGTACCAAGAAAACCGTTCCCCCTCTGTCAGCTGGGTCCACAGTTAGTGGCCCCAGACTGATAGATGAGCTATGCGAGCACTGCACATTGCCATTCAAATACTGTTTGAACGGTACTGCTCAGCTGTGATATTTCTAACACTGCCACAGCCTAGAGATAAATAAAAAAGGACCCCCAAGTATCTTTCAATACCTGGGGGTTCTCCTCTTTCAGTTGGAGCCAGAATTAGTGAGCCATCAAGTGAGCCATTTAAAGCGATTGCACTACCGAGTTAAATTGAAAATCCTAGGTCAGGGAGAACAGAAGAAAAATACCCTGGTGCTTAGCCCCTGCTCCTGGATCGGTGCTTGGCTTTGCCAGCTGCCCAGCACCGATGTCTGTGCTGTAGCTCCAGCATGAGAGGGAGCTATCCTTGTCATGCTACACTCAAACAGTACTGAGTGCTTACAGAGCCCTCTGTACAGTGTGAGCTAGGAGATCCATCTGATGATGTCAGTACTGACATCAGCAGACGGAATCCCTCAAGGGTGAGATTAAGGAGTGGAATTAGAGGTAGGATTAGGGGTAGATTGTAGCGGTTGGAGTAGAGGTTAGATGATTATAGGTTGGATAAGGAGTAAAATTAAAGGGTGGGTTATGAGTTGGATTAATGGTTTTATTAAGGGTTAGATTTCTCCCCTGCCTGCAAAATTCATAATATGCAATTCCACCTGAATATGCAACTTAACTAGCCTTGCTATTCAGGTAGTGCATATAGTGGTTTTAAGATCCTTAAAATCAACATATGGTGCTGTACAGGCTCCACAGCCAAATTCACCTAGTTGGTTGAAAGCATCAGCAGGACAGGAGAGCACACAAAACATTTAACAATAAACAATTGCATTAAATACACCCTGCACCTATAATTGGCACAGAGTGACTAAAACATAATGCTAACCTGGGGACCTTTCTAGTGTTAGTCTTTTGCTGTAGACATTATGGTGCTCGGAGTGTTCCTTTAATGGCATGCATGCTTTCAATATGTCAGAGTGCATAAATTGTCACTTGTTGAAGAGCATTGCGGACCGGTTTACAGTACCAAATTACCTGCTGTGGGATCGATTCCAAAAGGATTTGTGTTGCTGCATTCAAGAACATTACGAAATTTATAAAACCATGTTTCACTTTTGCAGATAAGAACTTCTAAAGTAAACAAGCTGTGTTGTAAGATCTGATTGAAAATTGAATCTTTTTTTCCCTCATGGAGGCTGTGTGAATCATAGCCAGGGAATTGTAGCTAGGGCCGCAAAGACAACAACTAAAGTGATTTAACTCCTAGATGTTAGATAATTTTGCAATGAGGCTTTATTAAGCCAAGTTTGTTTTGTGCTTAGATTATCCATTAATTATTGGTATATATTACACTCCTGTATGGAGCTAAAATCCAGAATTTAGAATATAGAGCAAGTATCCTTACACAGAATAGATAGTCCATTCAGGAATTTGTAATTCTTGTGACCATTTCCTATGATATGGTACAGGCAAAAAAAACCTTCACTGTATAGTTCAGTCCTTTAATCCCACTGGTGTTCAGTGAACACACGTATTCTGTGTGATACACAAACAATTATTGAAAACTAATGAAAATATTACCATACAACTTGGAAGAAATTTAAAACGCATAAAAGTTCATATTTATTGCTGCTTACAAAAGAATAAGGCAAATTGCAGTATTTTGTTGAGTAACAGATTACAGAATATTTGTTCTACCAGGAATATCAAAAGAGCTGCTCTTGACATTAATATATTCAATGGCTGAACAGAAAAAGTGGAAATTTAATATCTTAGGCAGTGTAAAACACTTTACATGTTGCGTACCTTGTAAAACATTAAAGGGACACTATAGTCACCAGAGACAACTACAGCTTAATGTAGTTGTTCTGGTGAGTATAATAGTTCCCTTCAGGCTTTTTTCAAACATTACATTGCCTCTAGGGACACCTCCAAGTGGCAACTCCTGAGATTGCCACTGGAGGTGCTTCCTGTGTCAGTGCTGACAAAATAGCAGCCCTGCCATTCAGCGTCCCCACGCTCTGCATGGAGACGCTGAATTTTCCCCATAGAGATGCATTGATTCAATGCATCTCTATGAGGAGGTCCTGATTGGCCAAAACAGCATTTGGCCCCGCCCACATGCCGATTTTAGCCAATCCAATGCTTTCCCATAGGGATTGGCTAAAAATCGGCCATTTGATGGTCACAAAGGGGGTGGAGCCAGCGCCGGCAGACCCGCACGGCGCTGAAAATAAGGCGAGTTTTAAACTTTTATAGGGGGGCAAGCCACCTAAATGGTCAGTTAAAGACTATAGAGTCAGGAATACATGTTTGTGTTCCTGACACTATATAGTGTTCCTTTAATATTCACCTTTAAAAAAAACAAAACAAAAAAAAAGCCTCAAAGGAAAAAAATAAACACAAAACATAAAACTGGCTACATAAAAATCCAGTGTTAATACAAAGCAAGAAAAACAAAAAGAATAATCCTTCATGAATCCTATTAGACACAAAGTGGACAGCTCCAGAAAGGTTTGGTTTCCTTGTGCTAAAGTTGCCACATCTGTGCTATCCATAAGAAATTAAATTATAGGTGAAATTATGCAGGACTCTATGTACCTTAAAGGACCACTATAGTGCCAGGAAAACATATTCGTTTTCCTGGCACTATAGTGCCCTGAGGGTGCCCCCACCCTCAGGGTCCCCCTCCCGCCCGGCTCTGGAAAGGGGAAAGGGTTAAAAACTTACCTTTTTCCAGCGCTGGGCGGGGAGCTCTCTGCTTCCTCTCCTCCTCTTCTCCTCCTCCTGGACTGAATGCGCACGCGCGGCAAGAGCTGTGCGCGCATTCAGCCCTCTCTGAAACTGCTATGTTTATGAAAAAATGGGTTAACCCTAGCTGGACCTGGCACCCAGACCACTTCATTAAGCTGAAGTGGTCTGGGTGCCTAGAGTGGTCCTTTAACGACAACAGTATTGGTTACAGTGCTCAATGAGCTATGGGTCAGGTCTCACCATCTCAGCATTTCCACGGATAAATCCAGAAATTACACGTCATGTGCATGATCAAATGCACATCTGTCCACTACAGGACAGCAATAATATTGTGAAAGTACTGGGCTAACTCAGACCTCAATGGAGAGGCTGAAATCAATGTCTGGATTTGCTCTAACTCGCAGTTCTGGATTGGCATGTGAGTGAGGCCTGTCGTATGTGCATCAATACAGGTTATTGTCAATTAGTCAAAATCAGATGTGATAACTACTATTTACCCGCGGACTCAACAAATCCCAAGTGCCAGGTCACTATGGCGACTAGAAATTTTGTCCTGGTGTCTGGGTGTTTGTCAGCCCAATAAGCGCGCACCCCAGCGTCGGCTGGCTGGTGAGGAAACTGTAAGCTTCCTGCTCTGCTACCTTGCGCGGCCTGTAGTGATGCTGGGATATGATGTCACCCTGGCCCTGGCATCACTAAACGACGCACGAGATAGCAAAGCAGGAAAGGCTTGAAAACTTCAGCACAGCCCCACACTGGACCCCATGGAAAGGATCCACTCCAGCTCTCCCAAAATGTGTGAGAGAATATGTTTGCATTAGTATCATTGTGTGTATCTGTCATTGTATCAAATCAGTGACTGTGTGTGTCAGTGAGTGTGTGTGTGTTTAGGTGAAAGGCATCCCTCTGATCGAATGGGAAAGGTGTTTTTAACTCACCTTTTTTCCCACGCCATGCCAGTCTCGCCATGCCTCCATGAGTGAGATAATCAATCCTGGTGATCTCAGACCATTCAATGCTTCCCATAGGAAAGCACTTGAAGGTTATTGAGAATGCGTGTCAAAATGCTGCGATGCACCAATCAGCATCTCTTCATAGAGATGCATTAAATTCAGCGTCTCCTAGAGCGTGGAGCCGCTGAATATAGGTGCTTCACACTGTGCATCACTAGACTAAGAAGCACCTCTAGTGGCCGTCTGAGTGACAACCACTAGAGGTGTTACTAGGCAGTAATGTAAACCCTGCCTTTTCTCTGAAAGGCAGTGTTTGCATAGAAAAGCCTGCAGGGACAGGCTATACACACCAGAACAACTACATTAATCTGTAGTGGTTCTGGTGACTAGTGTGTCCATTTAAGAATTGTATTTTTGTCATTGAAAATAAAGCTTTGTTAGTTTAAAAAAAAAAATAAAAAAAATAAAGCGGTTAGTAACTTTTTTTAGCTGGCACCTAGATTCTAAGCAAATGTGTTAAGCCCTTATTTACCCTACAACAATGTTAACATTTTAAACAAAATATTTTAGCCAGTTTAGCAGCATCTCAATAGAAAATGTATGTATCACTTAAACAGGACATTATCTTACTTGACATTAGAAAAATAGCATTTATTTTACTGTAAAAATCTTGACGTTTTGCAGCATTCAAGGACTGAATATCCCAATCCCTGTTCAAGAAGACCTTACCATTACCAATCTCCCTAATATTGCACATAGTAAAACAAAAAACAAATGAGTGGTATTATACCAAAAGTCTTTACATTTCCTCCCCTAATAACAGGGTGGCATTAAGGCACTGGTTGGCTGTAGAATGCAGCATGTATGGCAAAAAGTATTTAAGCATAAACAATTCTCAACTCCCAGTTTCGGAACTGTGCGTCTCCACATCATATTCTTTTTCTTTCAAGTCCCAGGGTTCATATATTTCAACAGTATCCATATCTCCATTAAGTTGCTGGTACGAGTACTTCCATTCTGTTCGCCTCTCTTTCCATTCTGTACATCTCTCTTTGCACCACGATGCCTGCTTGATATTGAATCCAACGCTGACCACAAGTACAGCAGCGAGTATGCATGATAATATTGCAAATGCATTTCTGGAATAAGGATTGGGCAAGGAATTTAGAAACAGAAACATGTTGACATGTCTTTATGCATGTGAGTATTGCTGTCTAATGTATTGTGTTTTAATCCACGAGTATAGTAAGTATATGCAGGGTCAAATAATATTAGAAGTGGTTAGGGCAAAGGGAGGTTTAAGAGGGGCTAACTTCAGAGTTCTATCACATAGGCAATGAAGAAGATTAAACATTTGAGATGGGTTATAGTTGTGGTACAAGTTATTTTGGGTTAGAGTGGATTTACATTTATTATTGGATACATAAGGTTTTTAGTTTTTAAGACGAGTTAAATCAAGGAATAAGGTAATTTAAAAAAAAAAAAATTTTAAGGTTTAGGCTTCGAGAATAAGGACATGGGGCACTGGCCAAGGCTCCTACCTAGTGATCTCACAAACCCATTTCAAGGGACACTCCACTATACAAATACAAAAATTAATTTAAAAAAAATAAATAAAAAAAAAATCACTGTCGGGTAGATATACCCTCAATGAAAACATGCATGCATTTAATTACACTATTTATTCACTGGGAGTATTTTTAAAAACAGCTTCCAAAAGGTGCAGATCTAATCTATTGCAAACCTTCCCCTTCTAACACAGCCAAGACTTTCTGTGGATGTACAATAACAGACTTTCCAATGCAGCTTAATAAGAAGTCTTTGCAAGACATGTGCCCTGAGCAATTCCCTTCCTCATGAGTTTAGTTCACAAAGCTAAACAAACCAGTTGTTTGACAGCCAGGGGGGCATAACAATGTTCATTTCTAAAAGTGCCAATTTCTATTGAAATCTGCATGTTTTGTAAAATGAAAAAGGAGGACACACTCTGCACAGATAGCTTTAGGGATCTGGAGTGTCCCTTTCAGCTCCAAAAAGGTACATTACATATGCAGGGAAAGTTCTTGCCCAGGTGCAATCCACATGTATCGTATTTTACGCTCCATAAGATGCACTTTTTTCCTTCTCAAAGCCGAATCGGCTGAGTGCAGGGGCGAAAAGCGGATCGTGCGGCACGGAAGAGGGAAGGCTGCAGAGAGGAGGCTGCTGGAGTTCCTGTATTGGGTTTGTCTGGCGGCGTGCTGTTTCCCAGCGCGTCGCCTAGCAACTGGTCTCGCCGGGACAGCAGTTTTTTCCTTTACCTTACCGGTAACTCCTTCAAGGTAAAAAAGACCAACTATGTGTCAGTTGTTTAACCTGTGCAGTCCTATCCAATGTTATGATGTTGAATGCCTCACATTGACTGCATTAGCTGTTGGCTCTGCAGGCCTGTTGGAAACCCCTTGCACACAAAAATAAATAATTTAAAAAAAAAAAACGCTATCCAAAGTAATCAGGGCCGGTGCCACCGTTAGGTGAACTAGGCATTCGCCTAGCGCGCTGGCCTGCTGGGGCCACTCACCGGGATGTTTCCTGGTGGGCTCCCCATTTGGCCGCCCACAGCACCGGGCCGATTCTCAAGGCGCCTGAAGGTGGGGGTGCCGAGAGGATCCCTGTCACAGTATGGCAGAGGAGGCACCTTCTTACCTTGATGACAGGTGCCACCTCTGCCATCAAATGCCGCTGCCCGGAGGAGAGGGGGACAGAGCAGGAAGGCGGCGAGGGAAGCTGTTCTTGCAGCCTCTCACTCCTCCCTTGTGCGCCCTCTGTAATGCCGGGAGCCGTAATATGACGTAATTCCGGCCCAGGCATTCGAAATGGCGCGCTGGAGGAGTGAGGAGCTGCCCCACACTGGACCCCAGAAGGTGAGTATTTGACTGTGTGTGTGTCTGTCAGTGAGTGAGTGAATGTATGTCAGTGAGTGAATGTATGTCTAAGTGTCTGTGTGCGCATGTTTGTCAGTAAGTGTCTCTGTGTGTGTCTGTCAGTGAGTTAGTGACATGAGGGGGCGGCAAAATGGATCTTTGCCTAGGGTGGCAGAAATCCTTGCACCAGTCCTGATAGTAATTGTGGAAGCAATTGAGTTTTATGTGTTTAGAAGTTTTTAGCTTAAGATGACATTTGGCAATGTGATTATTTTGACTTTATTTTAACTGTGACATGACTTCTGACTTACAATTGATTGTCATGCTCTAGCTGGTAATAGGAACTTTTTGGGGGGTTTCTATGATATTCAGCATTTCAAGTGATTACATATTTTTATGATGGTTCTTAATGCCACTATTTTCTTTCTTGTTTTCCTCTTCTAAAAACTAGGTGTGTCTTATGGTCAGGTGCGTCTCATGGTCAGGTGCGTCTCTTGTAGCGAAAAATACGGTAAATGCAATCTTAAAATAATTTACACTGAAATGTTTGTGTGTGTGTGAGAGAGATTATATATACATACACATGCATAGGATTTTTCCATAATTAAGCTAGTAATATTGTTCCTTGGGTGTCATTTTGAAGTGACGCTAACTTACTCGGTAAAAACAAACTCTGCAGCAGGCGGGAAGACTTCTTTCTGAGTTGTATTCGTCACAGATTCAAAACCATGGTCAGCTGATACTAGAAGAAATATAAAGTGGAATTTAAAAAACAATTACCTATCTGTATGTGTAATAAAATTACAAACAATTATGAGAGCCACCCGGGTGGAAAAATTCATTCTTGAACTGCTGTAAGCCAGTTCTTCCAGCATGTGGTTGTTAAAGGGACACTCCACATACATAAAGCAATTCAGTTTGCCGAAGTACATTATGTACAAGGAGCATCTCCTCTTAATTGCCGTTTGTGAAGATGGTTATTTCTATTTAAAAATT